TGTGTGGAGTTACCCGTAGTTTAGGTAAACTGTGTGTGAGTTCCACGACGTTAGGCTTTGATTCATACTTCAGCCCGGTGAATTTTGCTTCAAAATAAAATTGCCTACTGGTCTGCTGGGCGAGGGGCGCCCACTACCAGGTACAGAGCAAAAAAAATGTAATATCGATCAATGTAATTCAAGCTGAAGTATGAAATAATGATGTAATAGCAAAAAGCAGATACAATATTACATCAATGGATGTAATTTTGTTCACAAAATCGATGTACATCGTACAACGTTATATTACACAACCGATGGATTGACCTGGTTGCAGCAGTTTGGATGTAATATTCAACAACTTTTTTTTTTGTGTATGAGTGCGTGATATTTAAAATACATTGTAGTAATTTAAATACTTTGAGGACAGTAATCATTCGATTTTAAATACTTTTAGTTGTATTGAAAGTAATCAACATATAATTGACGATAATTAATGTAATGGCAAATAATTTAAATGTTTTGAAAATAATTTAAGTATCAATAATCAATAATTTAAAGTATTTAATAAAATTTAGAGTGTATTTAAAGTAATGAAAGCAGTAATGACAAGATTTTAAATATTTGTTCAGTAGGCTGCGTAGTATTGAAAGACTAGTGCGTGCCCCTCGCTGCTGGGTGTTGTGTGTTGTATGATCCATCCCATAAAATTTCCATCCCAAAAAATCCATCCCATCAAATCTCCTTGATTTTTTGCTTTTAATTCTTTTTAAAAAACAACCATATTTTCTGCTGTTTTTTACCCATATTTAACTCAATGTTTGAAATGCTGCGTAATGGATATTTGAACTTTTTGGGCACACCGTGTCAATACTTTTCAACTTTTCCATGATTTTTGCAATGCTAACAAGTTATTTGCTTTATATAATTTATTAAACATGTAATTTATAACCATTATAGTACTTTAAATAAATTCCAGATGATCATACTGACCTATTTTAACGGGAGATTGGCACATCACTTTGATTTCAATAGTATTATGTTAAAAAGAGGATTTTTGGAGCATTCAAGATTTTTCTAGATTTTATATTTTACCTGGTCCAGATTTTTCTGAAAATGACCTGCCAACGCTGTTTGGAACGAGGGTTATGCGCTTGGCAGACCTTTTTGACGTTTAATCGTCTTTCTCTATCTAGCACACATGGATGAATGGACGGTTTGTTTTCCCACTAATCTGTTTCCCTCTTGCTCGCACTCGTTCGATTTAAATGGTGCAGTAGTGTGCGCCGATTAAACGTCAAAAAGCTCTATAGATGACCCACAGCGACTCACGAAGATGGATGCCGATCAGTAGTGGTGAGGCTTCTTCCTCTTTCTTCGGTGAATGGACGCTCTTGTGGGCTGCAGTGCGCTAGGATTGGGTGATCTTCCAAAGATCGATCTCTTTCATGCCGATTTCCGATTTTTTGGATCGATTCTCGAAACATTGATTGTATCCTGTTCCTGTATCCGTTCAAAATTTTGAAACCATCATCACTTTCATAGTTCTTCTATTCTCCACCGGGCAAACTTTGATTTGCCAATCGGATATTGGGGGAATGGGCTTTGAATGCGAGAGGCTCCCAAACATACAAACTTTGCTCTTTCATTATGCATAATCTAGTGTGACGTAACGTTGAATCATGCATAAGAACACCGTGAGAACGATAGAGTCGACTACATTCGCACACGGTTCCCGTGCTGACTGTTCCTTATTTTCTCACTCTAATCAAAATTTCCTTCGATGAGTGAGAAAACCGAAACGCGAGCGAGAACGCGAGTTGCCAACAAAACTTGAATTAATTCAAAACAAAAATACTAGCGAACCTGCCCTAATAAAAAAAATACCATAAGCGGACGATAACCCAAATGATTGAAATATTCCACAAATGGTTTGGATGATACCCCGAACACGTCGTTACGCAAATTAACCATAACATTTTTATTAGGGTGGCGGTGAACGGCGGAAGGTGGATTAAAATTCTATTGCAGAGAACCACATTATTTTATTAATTTATTCGGAGAAAGTCGTCTGTCACTTCATTTGTGCTACTACACTGCCTAATCGCAGATCAGTCCCATATGGATTTTCGTCATTTTTGTGATAAAACTTTTGTTATGAAAAATGTGACAATAACATAAAGTCAGTTTGTCCCACCAAGCAAAGTAATCGTATCCCTAATAAACAAATACCATAAACGAACTGTATCCCGGATGGGTAAACTACCCCACGAATGATTTGGATGATACCCCGAATACGTCGTTAAGCTCTCTTGTATGGTTATTTTTATTAGGGATATCAGTCCCATCCTGAAATTCAATCGTTCAGAGTTAAGGGCCACCCACATTAGATCCGTTTGCGTTGCGTTGACGTTAATTTGACAGTTAGACAATAGATTTAGATGTCACTTTGCCGCAACGCGTCCGATCCGGATCTAACGTGCGTGGGCCTTTACAGTTCTGCTGTTTGACTTACCTTACCAATCAGGCTAAGGCCTTGTTGTCCTCTGCTGTCCGAAGAAGTCGTCTCCACTCTACTCGATCCATGGCCACAGTTCGCCAGCCTCGTAGTCTGCTTTTTGAATTGCCATATTTTTCGCTGATATCAAAACATGCAACTGATTTTAACTTGAAAATATTATCAATTAATCTACTATGATTTTCAAATATTTACATGGGAATTTCACTTCGTAACTTCGACTGCCATTTTCTCAATGCCTACTTTTTCCATATGGGACTGATATGCAATTTTAGGCAGTATAGTATCTGTCAAATCTGATGAGTTTCATCACTGTGATTTGGACAAGGGGCAAGTCAGCCGTACTCAGAGCAAATAGTTTCGCTGAAAGTGAATTTGAGCAACTCATAATTACTCAAAATTGATCAAAGTAGTTTAGCTTTTTTCAACAAATACAAACCTTCAATGAAAAATCGAAACAGATGCCATCTACTGCACCTATCTATTGCACCGTGGACATGCTCAGCTTGTACCCGAAGATCTTCGTTTGCTGGCAGGTAGGGACAATCGTTGCCCTTCTTATTGACATCATGACATTTCTGTTCCTCCTGGGATATGAGCTTCGTGGCGATGTTCCTTGTGCTTTTGGTTACTACTTTTGTTTTCATCACCCATTTCATTCACATAATTTGTGGAGAATTAGAAGGAAGTCAAATTTCAATTGTTGCGATTAATTGCAGTTTATGAGCGAATGATTTTGGCGTATGGACACTATTCGTTCTTGAGCTAAAACGCAGTGTATTCCAATAGGAATTCCGGAGAATCCCAGAAGAGCTCTGTGCTAAACTTTTCCCGTCAGATTAGTTCAGGGCAATGTATTTTCGTCAGCTGCATCATGCATCGTCCTTCTTGGTGGACTCAATTCCTCATGCTACTCATGGGAATTGAGCAAAGTGAAACTGTTCCTCCCACCACTGCTAAATACTCATAGAAGCAGAAACAAACGGTACCACCAGCCACAATCCTAAAACAGTACAGCTCGGTAACGGTATCCGTTGACTCAGACCTGGTGGTTGTCTTGAATCATCGTAACCATCCACACATTCTGTAACACCGATATCCTGGACAGAATTATATAATCCAGCAAATTCCTCAGCAGCACCACAAGTATCACATCCAGAAGAACTTAAGCAACAGTTTTCAGTTGCTTATGAAATTACTGTTGAAAAATATGACAGATTTCTACTCAACAATCAGATTGCTATGTGTATTGGATGTTGATCAACGCGAGTTACTCAGAGTTACTCAAAATTAACTCTGATTTTACTCATGATCAAAAGCGGTCTTGCCCCTTGGATTTGGACTACACGGCTAATCATACCAACTCAGCAACCGAGAATAATTGACTCAGAAAATTTTCTTTCCGTACGAAATTTACTCAGATTTGGAAGAAACTGCAGTTACTCATAAGCTATGAGTAACTGCAGTTTCTTCCAAGAGAAAGACGATTAAGGTGATACTCTGAGGAAGCCTTTGCGTGAAACTTTAAAGGCACAAACGTCAGCTTCCACAATTCATACAAATTTGAAATTGCTACTCCTTGTTTGCTGTGCTACTACAAACAGAGAGTAGCAATTTCAAATTTGTAGGTTTTGTGGAAGCTGACATTTGTGCCTTTGAAGTTTCACGCTAAGGCTTCCTTAGAGTATCACCTTAAACGTCAAAAAGGTCTATGGCAAAATCCATACGCAAACGTCAGACTGTGCGTGAAACTTGGCGGACTTCGTACTAACCTTATAGTCCATTGAAAATTCCCATAAGAAACTGTCAATCTTTGCTAGAAGAGACGATGTTTCGGTGGTGCCGTCAACGCCAATTGGTTCGATTTTGGGGTCCCTTTTTGCATCACCAATAAAAACTATAGATACTATAGATTCCATAGATAAGCGGAGGAAAAGTATAATGTAGCCAAACGAACTGTCACTTAGTGTAGCCAAACGAGCATGACGTCATCATGGTGTTGTTTGAGGGAGAAGTATTGTAATATTATGAGCACAAAACGCTTTCCACACTCCACATTCCGATTTATTTCGCGAACAACGGAAGAAGGATATAGTATAGTATCTATAATAAATATAAATTTAGATAAAATTTTAATATGCTGTAAAATTTTGGTGAAGTGCGCAGAATTATGGCAGTTAGCAGTACCTTGATCGAAATAAGAACGATCATATCAGTATCGTTGAACTATACAATTCGAATACAAGACGTATCTATACAGTAACACATAACATCTTTAATCTCGAATCAAAACTCTGTTAGCTATAAAAAAAGTCCTCAAACCGGTATTTATCATCGTAATTATGGCCATTGACCTACACTCAGTCGCATACAACTGCCCAAGTACCCGATATCAGCAATTCAGTTCAAGCCAGTTTAATCCTTGCATAAGCAAATTTCTATCACGTCACCATCACTGCAGCAACCTACTTAAAGTACGTCGTTCTTGCTTCATAATTTCCAGCTCAGTCTACGTGACAACCCGCTGGTCGTGCGTTTCGTAAAGGATATGACCCTTAATCCACCCACCCTGCTGGAACTGGCCGCCCGTTCAGCGAAAATCGCTTCAATACCCTACGGTCCGGAGGATCTGCCTCGGTCACTGATTGACTACCTGCAGACGGCCAACTGCTGTGTTAATCCCAACTGCCAAGGTAAGTTATCAGAACTTAAGCCTCCCGCACTTGACTGTCTGTCCGCAGAGAGTGATTTTTCTTTGTCCGATTGGCTTGGGCTACATTGTTTTAAATTGTCCCCTGCTCGAATTAATCACCGCTCTGATTCTCATTGTGTGATTTGTCTTATCTCTCTTTCTCTTGCATGATAGGAGTATTCTTCGACAACCGTGTGGAGCACATCAAATTTGTCGACTTTTGCGGCAAATATCGTATTCCTCTGCTGCAGTATTTGTGCTCCTCCAAGTAAGTTTCCCCGACGGTGTGGTGTGAGCTGCTCGGCTGAGCTAAGCGAAATTTATTAATACTCGTTGTTTTTTTTTTGTTATTGTAGATGCATCAATGACACCAAATCGACGGATGTTTACGGTGAGCCCAGCAGCAGCATGATGCGGAAGGTATTGCTCGGGTGATTTTGGTCAACACGTCTTCTTTGTTAATATCGCAGCGACGACGAGGGTTTGTATTCTGTCTCTCGTTGTCTCTTGCTTGTTTATGTGGTCCTATCCATGGTGGGTATAGCAGCTTTGTCACTATATGGACGGGAAGATCGCGGGGGGAAAGTGCGGTTTTAGAGCAAATTGTAAACAAACTCGGTCGCTGTCCCATACAAAAAACCAACATGGCTGAATCATGAATTTGACACACTAGAACACCTATATGTAGTCACCTTGGTCCTATCCTCTATCATTAGGTATATATGTAGAAGGTTTACCTTAACGAAGCCGGATACAAATATTGTAAAACAATATTACAAAGCAAACTATTTACAAATCCACATCGGCAATCTATAGAAGTTGACGCTCTATGCTTCAAGAACGTTTTTTTTTTAATTTTCTACATTGTGATCTGCTCTTAGAGCATTCGAACTCCAGTTCGATTTTAAACACTATCTACTAGCGAAATAGAGTGAAATACATTGTGCAGATGAGTTGAATAAGTCCTGTGTGTTCTCAGTGATCCGAAATAGTCCAATAGGGTGAAAAATGCCAACTGTTCTTGCACAATAGCGACCCAGGATTTCACATTTTCATGTTCAAAACACACGCTTCATATGATTTCATTTTTATTTCCTTTACAGTTCGTTATAACATTTATTGCAATTACTGTGTGTTTTTGTATCCATGTTTACTGCTGTTTCTCCTGTTATCAATTAAATTTTATTTGTTTCACTATACCTTTACATAAGCTATAACAAACATACAAGTTTTTACAAAACTCTTTCATATTATCCATTTTCCGTTTTTTTTTTAATTCATTCCACAAGTTCCATAAGAGAACCTTTGTTTTATTTATGGTCTTCTTCATCCATGGAATTCGTTCCTGTATTGGACCTCTATCATAGAAACTGAAATTTATTTCTAGAATTAAAAATTATACACTACATCTACTGCTGCTTCTTCCATCGTACAGGATTTTGATTTAAGTTGTTTATATCTCATTTCATTGCTGTTAGATTGCTCTAACTTTTCCTTCAATGCCCTACGCAGAGATATGCTTCCGATGGATACAAAATTATACAGCTTGCATTTTTAGTTTTGAAATTGGTTTTTGAATTAGTTTTTTTTTTGTTAAGTACAACTCGTAATTAGTTAATTCACGTTTGAATACGAATCCATCGCCATTAAAAGTATTACCTTTTCTGTCTTATTCCAGTTAGTTTACCTTTCAACTACTTTTTTTTTATTTTGTGAGAAGGAGAATAAAACTTTTGTCAATTAATCATTTTCTGCGATTTGGATGTTTGCATTTGAATCCTTTGTTTTATGACTTCAGCTGTTTTGTGTAAGTTTTTAGTTAGTTGAGAACATAAGTGGAACTGTAGTTGTAATTGTTTCTTCGTTTTAGTTTGAAATGCAAGCTTTTGCTTGCACTTTTAATTTCGCTCTCCAAGTAGACATCTAAAAATGAGATGACACTGCCGCTATATATGTTCTGTTTTTTTTTCTTCTTCTAGAAAATAAGTGATTCTCGAAAAACGGTGCGCACAAAAGATGGATCTCTATATGAACTTTATCATATTAATGGCCACTCAATTGTGCGTGGATATTACCCCTTTCGGTTAGGAATATTATTGAGAATTTTCTACAAAGATATTAAAGAGATCAAAGAGCAAAAATGTGGTTCATCCACGGTCGAAAGTAAGTTGAACATTCAAAATCGTTGAAATTGTTTTGTTTTACCAACGGGTAATATCCACTGGGTCAAACTAAAAAGCTAGTTTTGGGGAACACAGGTTATGTTCGAGTAAATTCTGTTTCCTTTTCCCTACAAAAATGTTAACATCTACGAATGATTGAACATCGACGATGATACCAGTTCTGAATACCGTTAGAGTGTTCCTTATGACATTTTATTTCAATGGTGTCTTGTTGCTTGCAAATACTTTTACATTTTTTTTTTGCTTAATGGTGGGGATAGTTATGTGTTAACGTGATATTTTGTTGTTGTTGTTGTTGTTGCGATTCTTATGTAAGTTCATCGCTGTTGGCTACTTGGTTATGATTGAGATGCATTTACTACACACTTTTGTCTTATACCTGATGAGACGTACGCGTGCCGACAACTCTGGAGTCTTAGGCTGTGAACCATTTGCCGAGTTAAATTCAACTCGTAGTTAAAAGTGACATTTCGAAAGTTATTTCTTATGTTCGAAAATCCCTGTGTTACCGATCGTTCGGATTTCGAGCAGAACTCAGCCACGGTTGTCAAAATTTAACTTCTTGTCTGTCAGAAACAACCACGCTTGGATAGCAGGGTTAATCGATAACTTTTCATCTGTCAAATTTTAACCAAAAGTTAAAATAATCCACCAAATGGTTCAGAGCCTTAAAGATTTCAATATTCGTTCGTGTTTTTTTTTCTTCGAACGTGTGTGCTAAGAGTTTCGTTTCATCACTGTGCCGAATAGTATGTAGTGGTAAATCTAGTAGTTTTTACGAATTATATTTTTACGACATTTTTCTCTGTTTTCTACTCCTACACTCTAAGGCAATCGAAAGAGTTGATACAGAACGTTTGTGCTGCACTGCGGATAAAACTAGCAAAGCATTTGATCACCAACGGAATTTAATGGCTCAACGAACTGCTGTATATTTCGCTTTTAGTTTTCCCTTCCAAAGGAAAACATGAACAAGGAGATCTTTCGCCCCTGCAAAACGCATCAACTTCGGCTTAAAAGGTAGACGTCGTGCCATCAGGGGCCAGTAGCCTGGGGGGGATGTGCTGTCAAATCAGCCTACTGATCATCTTGTATGAAACTGGTTCCAAACGTAAACAAACGCTGTAGGTTTCTTATGGCTTGTTTACGTTTGGAACCAGTTATGCGAGGTAGGCGACGATTGTTCGTATTTGACAGCCACCTCCCCCCCTTGCCAGTAGCAGAGCTGGCAGATGTCATTTTCAATGAAAGTCATCGGATGAGAAAACGATTATAGAGATTTACTTCAAAATCTCTTCGATTTTTTTTCTCGGTGCTTTTGCTGTTGCTTTTTTTTTAGCCAGTACAATCTATTACAACTTTGCATTGAACAAATTCTAGAAAATTGTTAAGCTTAGCTGCAGCAATGCAAAGAGAAAATCGATGAAGAGAATCGATCATCGCGTATACGCCCTTATGCATGCTCACTGTCCAATTCTAGATAGAGCTGGATTAAGGGCGTAACACCTTTTGTAAACAATGACTTCTCTCGATGATTTCTAGGAATACAAGGCACGACCACGCAAACCAACATTACCGTCGGGTAGGGGAAGTCTAGTCGTGATATTTACCAGCTCTAGCCAGTAGCATAATGAATTCTATAAGACATTTCAAATGGGAATTACAGCGTACCGTTCCTTGTAGTTTCGTTATGATACCCGCCTCAGGTTTAAACTAGTAAGACCATCTCCACCGCTGTTCTCATTTATATTCTTTAAACGAGTGTCTAGCTCACAGTCCCTGTCAGTTGCTTAGAAACCCTTCTTCTCACCGTTGCACAGTGGAACGATATCTATTCAGTGTGGCATTTTGATGTCTTCTACACGAAACGAAAATCAATTATTTTATTCATGTGTTTCACTTATACATTTTTGCCAAAACATCAGTCTTATACATTCCATAAGACACACCACATAGGTCCTATAAGAATGCATAAAATGTATGTGTGACCGCTTATACATTTCATTTGACACATGAGCTTCATTAACTTTTTGCAAGGCGTCTGCTTATTAGTTGACTTATACATTTTATGAATAATTAGCAATAGAAATTTGCATTAAGGTATAAGGAGATTTCTATCCGTGTAGAATGTTTTTTTTTTTCATTTTCAGGGTGCTTTTTTTGATTAAGGGGGGTATACACTCAGATTAAAAAATAGCTTTTCTATGTCTTGTTAAAATCGATGAACGTCTATGGAAACATTGTAGATGAAGCCATTTTAAGAATATTGCTATTTGCATTAGAAATACTCAGAGGGAGAGATGGGCGGAGAGATTGTTTTGGAGCCAAATGAACTGTCAAAATCTGAGCCAATCGAACATTCCCATTAGAATTTTTCCGAGGATTTCTTATTCTTACTACATTAAATTTGAGAGTATTGCAATCGAACAGAAATTCAATCACCTTTATGTTGCGGGTGCTTCTCAAATTCAACTAGCTTTTTTTTAATCAAAAACAATATTCTAACTCTGTTGATTAATTGATCTTAGTTGGTTAGTTAATGGCACCAAGAAATGTGCAAAATATTGCGATGCACTCAATTATTATTTTGCACGTAAATCGAATCAAAAGTAAAAGTCATGTGAAATGCTAGCTTCTAGCAAGGGTTACAAGATAATTTAGGTACAAATCCCTGCTGCCGAATTGTATTTTGTTTTCTCCGCTCATCTCTTCCTTTGAGTATTTCTAGTTTGCATCTGCAACTGGGCAGCCCCAACAATACAAAAAAGTGTGGTAAACGTGCACGATTCCGTCAAATCGTTTTGGTGTCTTGGGAGCACTTATTGCTTGTATCATAAGGAATGAGTGCATCCACGACACCAAGACGATTAGAAGAAAACTCGCACTTTTATAACACTTTTTAATAAGTGAAAACGCGTCAGTTTGGTGTGAAGTGCGAAATAAAACTGTACGCAATATTTCTGTTTTATCCCAGCAATATATCTTAATTCTTTAGCAAAATAAAATTGCAGGTGCTCCAAGTGGTACTGGAAGCAGCATTAAATTTTAATTAGATATTACAAAATAATTACCATTGTAACATAAACTGAATAAACACATAGAATTCACTACACACTTAATCACGGATTCCTTGTTCGGTAATTTTTTTTACAGGTTTATAACTGTAAATCACAAAAACTACTGAACATTCAGCTATTCTCAACCAAACTACTGATGTTCAGTAGTTTTTGCGAGAAACTACTGAATGCGGTAATAGCAACAATCAATACGAAACTAACGATTTTAAATTGGCTCACCACTTTAGTAGCCTATTGGTCCCAAGCAAACGATTAACGTACCCTATTCTAGTTGAAATTCTATTACTACACTATGTTTGTTTTGATTCGCTATGAAAGTTTGACAGATAACATCAGGGGTGTGTGGATTCATGCAGAACATGCAGGGGTGAGTGAAATAGCTTGGGACTGCTTGGGACCGTTGTTCTGGTACTGAGTGAGCCAAAAATAATAATGATTTTCTTCGGGACCCAGTGGTCTTAGAGTTACCTCTATGGTAATAGCAACAATCAATACGAAACTAACGATTTCAAATTGGCTCACTACTTGACTAGCCTATTGGTCCCAAGCAAACGATTAACGTACCCCATTCTAGTCGAAATTCTAGTACTACACAATGTTTGTTTTGATCCGCTATGAAAGTTTGATAGATAAAATGAGGGGTTAGTGGATTTTCCTATGTTTCGAGGGGTGAATCGATTAGCTTGGGACCGAATATAGTACCAAAGCTGAGCCAAAAAGTTGAGCACGTTTCTTCGGGACCTACTAGTCTTAGAGTTACCTCTATGGTAATAGTAAGTACTGAATTGACCGTAAAATAACAGATTTACGGGAAATTACTAAAACTCAGTAAAATAGAAAACCGAGTTTTCAGTACTCATTATGTTTTACTGAAACAGTCATCAAACGAAATTCCAAAATTACTGATCACACCAGTAAATTGGATTCCTTTACGTCATCCTCCTCCGTTCCACCTCGCGCACTTGACATCAGAAGTTTTTGTGTGCAAACAGAACATGTTTGTGAAAATTAGTGGACGATTGGAAGGCAACGCAAGAGTTCAGAAACATTCATGGAATTGGACAGTTTCTGCACTCCTGCATCGACTTCCGGATGTTCCATTGACTTTGAAGCAAACATTTTCAATTGTGAGCCTCAGACTATAAGGCAGACAATCTGGCACTAAAAAAAGCAACCAGCTGGCCGAACCACGAGGAAACGTTGAGCACTCAAGCTGGACTATAGCTCAGAATTAGTTTAAACAGTATTATTGCTATTCCACCTCTAAACAAACTACCCTAAATTGTAAAAAATCCGAAATATTTTATTTATTACTCATTAATATTTATTCAATAAAATACTGAAATAAAAGAACTGAAAAACTCAGCAAAAAAAGTAAACAAATAATGTACTGAAAAAGTCAGCAATTATTTTACTGACTAAAACGGTATTTTTTGACATTTCAGGGATTTTTCCATTTACCGAGTTTTCAGTTAAAGAAAAATCTACTGAGTTGATTACTGAAAACTCAGCTGTTTAAAAACCCAGTAAAATATTACCGACTTCGGTAATCTAAACTCTGTGTGTACCGAGGGGGGCGACACATCTAAATCTCAATTCTAGATGGTCAAAAAATCTCACACTAGCGAATAAATCTTCGAAAAATCTTCTTTAATTTCTCGCATCTACTTGCATCGCGCATCATCTTTTTGCAGGAAATCTTCAAAATCGTGATAAATCTTCTTTATATCTACGCAGCGTATGCGCAGCTAGCCACAGCAAAACAAAATATTTCCTGCATCGTAGATAGAGTCGTCCCCCTCGGTGTGTACGGACAAATCTGACGGTAGTCCGTAAAACTCCAGCCATTTTTTTGCGATGTTCAGCGTTTTTCGGAATCCGAAAAAATGCTCACATTGTTACACTTCGTTGCACTTTCAAGCTCGCGGTTAGGGCAAAACTTGGCAAAAATAGTTCAACAGGTCATTCTGAGGACAGTCTGGAATTCAAACAACGTAAACAAACTAACTCATAGTGTAGGCAACGATAAAGTCACGCACAAAGCTGGAACATGTTGCTCCGTGGCAAGGGAACCCGTACAGAAGGCCGAATCACGAAAGTCCGAAGCACAAAAGGCCGAAAATATTCTAAGGTACCGTAAAACGGGGTAACATTGATAAGTATATTCTAAATATTTTTTACAGCAATGGATGTTTTTCAAATTTTATATTTTTAAAACAAAGTACTGAGGATCCAAGAGTTAATTCGTTTGTAATATGTTGAACGAAAATTATAGCATTTGCACTATCTTTTTAGTTTTGTGACCGAACTTCAGTATTTTGATTTGGGGTTACTTTGATAATGCTCGATGAATGTAGAAAAAAATGAGTGAAACTCAAACAATTTAGTTCTTTAAATATGAAACTTTAAATGAGTATATAATCAGAAAACTTCATAAGCAATAATAATACAACATTGTATTTGTGATGGCTGTATCGGAAATACATTTCATAAGTGATGGTGTGAGCAAAGATGAATACTAAGATGAAACTATCGGAAGAAAAACTTTCTATTTTAGTGTCCTCTTTCACGGTCCCTTTCATCCCATGAATACCTCCCGTAGTCAAGGTAATTTTGTGGTTTTGCTGCCCCCTCGGTAAAGATGAAATTTTGCGCTCATTTTGATCAAAACAATCACACCAAAATCAGAGGTGTCCCATTTTTTAATTACTCGATTAACAACTAATCAATTTCTTTTTGTTCGCTGTGCTGCCATTTTTCCACCAATGAGAGTGCAGCACATGTTTGAAACGATCGGTGATGATCATCTGGAGAAGTTAATGCTTATATCGGCATGATATAACCGATTACAAATATTTTACTCTTCGGTTCGTTAATCGATTAATCGATTATTCGAATGAAAATTGGCCATCACTAGATGTATGTGAAACATCATTTCTCGATGAACATTTCAAATGGTCCTATCTG